AATTAAGAGACAGATGGATCTCTGTGAGTTCAAGGCCACCAAGATCTGCACAAGTGTGAATCAGTCAAAAAGAGAATTATAGCTCACACTTTTAATCCTAACATTAGGGAAGTATATAAGACATAAGCAAGGTCTCTGAGAGACATTCATTCTCCAACCACACTGAAGATAGGAGCATTCATTCTCCAGCCACAATGAGAAGAGGTTCTAGTCTGAAGTTTGGTGAGAGCTTGTAGAGACAGGATCAGTCCATTCAGCCTGAGGTAGAGGTAAGAAGCTAGTAGCCAGCTGCTTTGCTTTTCTGATACTCAGCTTGAAGCTTGAACCCCAATATCAGTCTCTGGGTCATTTATTTATTTGTGTTACAGATGACCTTGAGGGCATTCTCTTATGTGAAACAAAAGACAAATACTGCATGACCACACTTGTTTGAGGTCCTGAGAGTGGTGAAATTGCTGGAGACAGAAAAGGTACTGACTGCCAGGGGTTAAGGAAAGGGGTGGGCTAATGTTCAAGGCACACAGCGTTCTACCTGTGGGAGAGGAAGACATTCTAGGGATGAACAGTGGAGATGGTTGCACTTCTATGCAAATGTTCTTGATACCACTGAACTGTGCACTTGGGATGTGTAAGGAGGGATAATTATGTGATGGATTTTAACCCAATTAAAAAAATAGAAAGAAAACTGCTGACCTCCTTTGAGAGACAACAGAATTAGGTGGTTTTATTCCTGTGATTTTTTTAGACAGGTTTTGTGTGGCTATAGAAACAGCTACAGGAGACATGTTCAATTATGAGGTTCAGTGCTCTCGGGGTTCCCAGGTACTACTTTGGAGAGGGCAACAAGGAAGGGTCAGGAAGGGAGGTACTAGTTGTTCATCTTACATTTTACTTTATTTCTTTTTTCATAAAGAGAGATGAGTGGCAGCCACAGCAAGTACTTGTGTTAAGTCTGAGTAATGGGTACACAGGTGTTTGTCCTGTTATTTCATATAATTTACACCAAACTAATATTATAATAGAAAATCTAAAATGAAATAGAACAAGCCATTGAAGAGGAAGAATCAGGTGGATTCTGTCTGAATTCTTGCAGTCTGTACTTAAGCCTCTTGTTCTAATTTTCCGTCTTTTCTTCCACATGGTGGTATAGAAGACCTTCCCTTGTTGCATGGGACAATTCAAATCACCCTGGCTCTTTGTGCCTTGCCTTTCTGAGGCAATGCCACTAAAGAGAGCAACAGATACTATTGGTCATCCACAGGGGTCTTTGACATGTCCTTTAATCGTTAGAAAACTGAACAATTTTCCAGTCTGCCCTTTCTTGCCCACTGCACCCAAGATCCAAGATTTTTTGTGACTGTCAGTCCCACCTGTGTTACCCATCAAGGAGTCTGTACGCGTGCCCTTTGTCTGTGTTTAAGGCGTCAAAATGCTTCAGGAGCAAACCTGATTCCAGCCTCATTTTCCAGGCTTGCTATCTTTTTTTCTGGCTCCATAGACACCCTTCTCAGAGGAGCTACCAGCTGTGGTTCCCAGGAGCTCAAAGAAGCACAGCTATCATCAGCTCTGGAAGACGTGGGCCAAACTGATTCCCAGGGAGGGGATGGACTTGAGGGCCAAATCACCAGTTGTGCTGAAACCATTGACTCCCTCTTGCCTGTCTTTACCTGTGAACCTTGCTTATTCTTATCCAGTCATCTCCTGACAGCTGTGCCCATCTTGGCACCTGGAAAGAGGGCCACAGGACTCTTTCTCCTGAGTTCCCTGACTCCTGGTGGGGAAGGTCGCTGAGAGCCAGGTTGGGTTCTAATGACAGATGGGCTCCTTGTGCAGAACATACGATGCCTGCTCATTGCCTTGTCTGCTGATGTAGATTCTGGCTGTGGGCCAGTTCTCCAAGCACTGACCCCAGCTGGAATTCCAAATTCTTGATGCAGTAGAAATGGCACAGTGCCTATGACATTGTAGACACCTGATAAAATTCACTGATGGGTTAAGCAAGGACAGAGAGCTTCCAGGTTAAAATGGCCAGTGGTTTGTTTTTTTGTACCTACATCCTGGTTGTCTCTGAGACAGGGCCACTGAGCTTTTTGCTACCAAAGTCACACATACTCCAAGTCATTTATTTATTCCATGAAGACCCACCCCCTAGTAGCCCATTCAGCTATGAACTCATCAATTAGCCCATTGACAACAAAGTTGGTGCCCTCATGATCCAAGCATTTCCAATAGTGCCCCTAGGTGGGGACCAGTTCATTTTTTTTTCTTTTCTTCCCCTGAGCTACCTTGATTAATGGCACCAGGCCTTGCTTCTCTTCCTATCTTTAAAATCTAAGTAGTATTTATTGCTGCCAATTGAACAGTGATAGGTGTGTTACACAAGTCACCACCAAGTTGACTTAGGTTGGTGTGGTCGCCCTCCAACTAATCTTGGTATTTCTTTTTTTTTAAATGTTTTTATTTAAATTAGAAACATGCATGCTTCAAATATCAATCCCAGCTCCCTCTCCCACTCCTCCTCCCTTGTCCCTCCACCAGCCCCCAGCCCCAGCCCAATCCCCACAGCATTCCCCAGGGAGGGTGAGGCCCTCCTTGGGGGGATCTCCAGAGTCTGTCATTTCATCCAGGGCAGGACCTAGGCTCTTCCCCTTGTGTCCAGGCTGAGAGAGCATCCCTCTGTGTGGAATGGGCTCCCAGAGTTCATTTGTACACCATGGTAAACATTGTTCTACTACCCAAGGCCTCAGAGATTTCTGTGGCCTTCTCAATGACACTACATTCATGGAGTCTGGATCAGTCCCCTGTTGGCCTCTTAGCCATCAGTCTGGGGTTCAAGAGTTCCCTCTTGTCCAGTCAGCTGTCTTTGTGGGTTTCACCAGCATGGTCTTGACCCCTTTGCTCATCACTCCTCCATCTGTGTCACTGGGTTTAGGGGGTCAGTTCAGTGTTTAGCTGTGAGTATCTGTCTCTGCTTCCATCAGTCACTGGATGAAGGTTCTAGGATGGCATATAAGGTAGTCATCAACCTTATCATCAGGTAGGGGCTATTAATGTAGTCTCTCCGCTATTGCTTAGTTTTCCAGTTGGTGTTATCCTTGTAGATCTCTGTAAATCCCACTAGTGTCAGCTCTCTCCTCAAAGCTGTAATGACTACATCTATTATGGTAATTGTCATCTTGGTCGACTCTATTTTTACCCCGACTCAACCTTCCTGCTCCCCCATGTCTTCTTCTCCCCTCCTCTTCTACCCCTTTCTTTTTCCTGGTTCCCTCTCCCCTCCCCCAATGTTCCCAATCTGCTCAGGAGATCTTGCCTCATTCCACTTCTCTGGGGTATAGTGTATATCTCTTGGGAACCTCCCTGTTTCCCAGACTCACTGGCCCTGGAATTGTAGGCTGACACTCCACTGATCCATGTCTAAAATCCATACATGAGTGAGTACAAACCATGTTTGTCTTTTTGTGACTGGGTTACCTCACTCAGGATGGGGACCTACATTTAACACAAATGTAAAATGATCACTTTTACAACTAAACCAAGCCAGGCAGATTTTCTGGTGTAGAGTTCATGTTCTAAATCATGACCATATTATTTCCCATGAAATTATATTTTAGAAGGCTATTTGGTGTATGTGTGTATATATATTTAGCTTTACACAGACACACATATGCAATTATATATGTATACACAAACAATTGTCAGTCACTAATTTAGATGTTGGAGATAATAAGATTCATGATCGATAAGAGGGAACATATATATAAAGAGATAATCTTAATACACTGAAGACTTAAAATGTGGCAGTTTCTGTGTTTTGGTGAAGAGAGATGGCATGCATTTGTTTCTTGACCAGCAATAGGGTCACCCTGGGCTGAATGTTTGGGTCCTGAAAGTGCCTTATGTGGTACACATATAATTTAGTTATGTTTCTCTTTGTGTGCTATGCTTGAATGAAGCTGGCATTTGTCCTTTTTAGAAAGGACTTGACTGTGGACTTCGGGCTGGCTTCAAACTCATGATCCTCCTGTCTCAGTGCAGAGATTATAGGCATGTACCACCACACCAGGTGTACAAGCAACATTTTAAGATTTTAAAAGAAAGCAAGTGCCTTTGGAGCTCAAGGACCTGTTTTGACTTGCGCTTCAGAGGCTGAAGGCCTCTGCCCCAACAGTTACATCAGCTCCTGGCACCTTGACATCAGTATTGACTCCCGGGGCTCACTTCTTCCTTGTCTTCATCAGTTGTCATCTCCTCGTATCTACCCAATAGACAAGCGTCTTTTGGGGAACATTTCTGAGGATTTCCTTTTCTCTGGGACCAGCTTAGACTTGACTTCATGGAGTCATACAGGATCTTCCTGCACACACATGCAGGGAGATGGACCCTATGAAAGAAGCCACATGCTGCAAAGGGAAGAGGCTACCGGGTATCAGTCTTTCTGTGCTAGGAGGGCAAAGAGCCTGGAGGATGCCCATGCTCATCTCCGAGATGAGAGATGCTGGATCCTAAACATACAACAAAACATGGGACCAATGATTGTCAGACAGATGCTCAACTTGATCCTTAAACACAAAGAAATTAGGTGGTCTCTCCACCCCCAACTTTACCCTTTGATAGTATAACTTAATTTCAGCACAAACTAATTAATGTTTTATTGCATACATATAGTCCTTTTCAGAAATATATTTACAAAGCACATAAATGCAAGTAATAAAAAAAAAAAGACTGAGGGGCTGGGGAGATGGCTTAGCAGGCAAAGGTGTTTGTCACCAAACCTGGGGGCCTGTGTTTCATCCCCAAGATCCACATGGTAGAAGGAGAGAACTAACTCTGTAAATTATCCTTTGACCTCCACCCATGAACTGTGGCACATGCACGAGTGTGCGCACACACATGCATACACACCACACATGCGTGCGCGTGCCCACACACACACACACACACACTAAATACATGAAGAAATAAATGTAATTTTTTAAAAAATGACTCTGAACTAGGACATATTTAAGGTTCTTGGAATTTTGCAGTCCATGGTCCCTCTACAGCCTGTGGCTTAATCTCATGCCAGTTTAAAACAAGACCTAGATTGATGCAGGATCGTAACTGAACACCAGGAAGTCCTGAGCACAGCGCCACCTCCCACGAGGTCTGCATGCTTGGCGGGGTTTATTTTTAGATGCAAGAATGCCTGGTGATTTAACTTAAGCAGGACAATCCAAACATTTGTTCCATTTCACTGTGATAAGATGTCATTCCATTTCTTTCTATCATTTCACCATCCTTCCAAACTGGCTTCATTGTAAGTAGACATTATGAGTTGTCTCCTGAGGTCTGAGATTAAAAACCTGTGTCCTCACACCTGGTGAAGAATATTTTTAGGCTACTTTAACATTTCTGTCTTCCTAATGAAAATCAGAAAGCATAGTATATCCACATATTTCATGTGTCAACCAGAGAAAAATGTTCCAGATTTGTCTGCCACTAAATCTGTGCTGGTAACATATTCCACATCTGCTGTAAGGGATGGGGAGCCTTTTCCACCATCTTCTTTTCCCCTTAATACTTCCATGATTCTGCTTCCTTTGGGAGACTTATTAAACTCAGAGTCAGGGAAGCCTATGATGCTACTTTATACTAGAGTGTCAATAGTTGATATCTTCTGTAGACACTATCTCCTCTAAAGATACTGGCATTGTGGAGGTACGAGAGGCCGAATCCAGAGGCGGATACTGGAAGGTTTGTCTAGACCACAGTCTTCTGAACCCCACTCCAGAGATGTTCACTGTGGTGACAAGTGTATGGCTCATCTGCATGTGCAGCACTGGCTAGCACACGGACACTTTGCCCCCTGTACCTGGGGGATGGTGCCCAGGAACATTCACAAAGACTTGTCCCACAGGGCGGGGAGCAGCTCCTGTTGGCCATATCTGCTGTGAAGCTTCAGACTGTGGGATGTTGTGCTGAGAGTATGGACCGCATTTCTGTGTCCTTGGCTTCTCTGCGTAGTTGGTAGTGTATCTGCTCATGGTCGCCACTGACACAGCCATACAGAGGGCGAACGATCCCCAGGCGAGGCTGTAACAGAAGGCACAGTTAGGAAAGGCCTGAAATGGGATTTCAGGGCTGTCCTGGGGATGACCACCTCTCTGGTGGGGGTAGGGAGACATTGCTGTTATCTAGGGAGATGCTGCTTTGTGTCTTTAGGCACCTCTTGGGAGATTTGTGTCTTTAGGCACCTCTTGGGAGATTTCCCTTCACTGGGTAGATTTGTTGTTGGAGAAAATTATTAAATCCTAAGAAAGGGAAAGGTAGGAGACTGCAGTGTTTACAGGGAAGAATGACTTCAAGAGCTCATTGTACTCTCCATGGGCTCCCTGAGAGAGAGTGTTGGAGCAACAGTAGGGAGGAGACATGAAGGGATGGCAGGCAGTTGTGAGGAGTGACTGGTCCATATAAGACAGGAGCAACACAATATTTAGGGGGAAGGGTTCCCAGAAGAGCATAGTTTTAGTCTCTAAAGACACGGGCACAAAGAGTCCAGACTCAGAGATAGGAGGATGTGTGGGGGACAGAGGGAACCCTGGTCTGAAAACAGGGCTTGTATGAAAAGGCGGCTGTGGAGCAAATGCTGTCTTGCTCTTTTCTCATGCCTAACCTTAGGATTAAGGTTAGAAGACAAGCAGAGGGCATTTACCCCCAGAAAATGAAACAAAAGCAGAAAGAGACTAGATAAGGAAAGAAAAAGGACCTTTGGATAATTTGCCCCAGTGACCCAGCTAGGAAGAATTCTAAGAGAACTGAAAACCAAGGAGAAGAAATAGCGAAAGAAATAACCCAGGAAAAGTTCCCTGAAGTGTGGGATACAAGATAAGCAGCTTGCCAAGCACATGAAAGTAGGAGGAATGTGATGGAATGAACAACCCACCAGGGGACATCCTGACCCTTGCCAAGAAAGCAGTAGACTAGGAGTCAGAATGGTGTTGAATCCTTGACAGAAACAATACATGTAGAATGAAAACAGAACTGTGCCTTAAAAATTCCGAGGGAAAAACGATTTTCAACAGACTTTTGGACTTTATTTTATTTTTTGGCCATGTGATCAAGCACAGAGTACCAAATAAGCATGTTCTGGATATGCAAGGACTAAAATAGCCACTCTCTCTCTCTGCTGATCCTTCAAGTGTTCATAATACTGGCAACATGGCCTCAGAACCCAGAGCACTAGTTAGGTTGGAAGCCACTCCAGAGACCTAGGTGGAAGTAAGAGTGTCCAGAGTCCCAGTCGTAAAAATCAACATCTTCAGACTGGGGAGACCAAAGCTGAGAAGGGTTTTTCAAACAGGTGCATCATGAAGATTAATGGCAGGATTAGGAAGTAGATGCCAAAAATGTGTTTTACAGACAGGAAAATAACTGTCAGTACCAAATGAAAATACAAAGACAATTCTCCAAGCAAAGATTTTATTTGGCACAAATAACAAATAAAAGTGCAATCTGGGACACCTGGACTGACAAGCGCAGCCTCTGGCATTTCTGGAGAACAAAGGACATGGTTGGTTATTGAAAAAGAGAAGTGGATAAGCTGTCTTGTGTCCATTAGAAGCTGGGAAACGATGATTGACTAGTGTCAGTAGTTTCTAGGTAATATTTGTAATCTTGGTGGTACATCTTGATCCTTCTGATTTGGGGTCAAGCTTATACCGCATGCAATGTGTTGGGGTTATTGTTCAAGTGGTTGACTCTCCCTATGTCTCTAGCTGTCTTGGTGTAACTCACAGTAAACTTCTGCCTGGAAGTTTTACTACTATTTTTTTTAAAACTTCCAGATATCAGGAGAATTATGAGTGAGTGTTCTCAGTATATGACTTTCTTTGGCTCTATTTTGTCAGGTTTTGACACAAGTGACTCCATTTGAAGTTGGCAACTTTATCCCAGCATTAGAGGTTATTGTGTGGAATGAAAATGTGAGTATAAGCACACGGGTTTTTAAGATACAGTATGTTTGGGGCTCATGAAGCAGGTCAGCAATAAAGCACTTGCCTAGCATGTGTGAGTCCCTTGGTTTGAGCTCCACTACTGCAAAACCAAGGATTTACAAAGAAATCCCCTGTGGTCTTGCATGAAATGACTGAATCTTCCCAACAGAAATAGAAGCTAGGTCTAGAAGGGTTAAGCACAGGAAAAATCTCTTCAATCTGTTTAAAAATCTAGACTTTACCATTTGTCAAGTATTTCCTAAATGCAACATCTTTATTCTCCACAGCCTGGTAGAAAGGCCTTATTGCTGAAGACAAAACTTATATATGCCATTGTAGATGGAAGAATCAAGATGATGCTCAGCTAGAAGCTTCACACCTACTGACTAACATTTCATGGAACCTTAAGGTACTTTGTATGTTATCAGAGGAGAAAGATAATCTCCAGTATCATCCAGCTACAAACCCTCAACCTCCTACAGTTACTTTAAGACATAATGATGTAGTAGTGGCACAGATGTTTTAGGAGTAACCAACCACTCTTTAAAATTGGATTTAAGCTCCACTCTTTAAGATGGAATCCATACCTAAACGTGGAAAGAACCTGAGACTAGTTAGGTCATGGGCCCTAGGGGTAAACCTACTACTATTATTCTATAAAAGGAACACAGCAATTAAGTGACTTCCAATGATATCAATAAACCCTCATCAAGGAAACTTCTTGCAGTAGATGGTAATTAACACAGAGACCCACACTGGACAATGTGCAGAGAGTGAAAGACTTTGGAGCACTCCTCCTTAAATGAACACACTCACACAGACATACATGCAGGCAAAACACCAATGCACCCAAAATTAAAAAAATAAAAACTGAATAAAATAAATTATGAAAAACTAAAAAAAGTCAAACTAAGTGATTGTTCTCAGTAAGCTGAGAAGATTGGATTATAGAAAGGTTATAATATCAATCAAGAGTCACAAAAGTGGCAGGTACCAGTCCTATGACAATGTCTATTTTCCTACAAAAAATATGTTCATCTCTTCTGGTCCACCAGAGCTTGAGCAGGGTAACCAAGCAACTTACCAATAGGACCAGCCATAGTCCCATGTCTGAGGCCGCCAATCTTCTGGACCCAGGTTCACGGTGATTTGAAAACTAGTTGTGTACATCATGTGGGCCACCATTCCCAGGAGCCCTGTATAAGTAAAGTTTTGTGAGCTACAGATTATAACACAACATAGTGGAAAACCTGCTCTACCCTGCATGTGCTGAATGCTGGGAGCACTGTAGCATTCACAGACCCTAATTCCGTATCTGCACTTACACAACCTTAAACACTCCACCTGATATCTCATTCCTACAGTAGAAACTAAAGGGACACCTAGGAGCAGGCCTGATCATAACCAAGAGGAATAAAGTAGGGCACTAGAGAGATGTCTCAGTAGTTAAGAGCTCTGGTTCCTCTTCCAAAGGTCCTGAGTTCCATTCCCAGCAACCACATGGTGGCTCACAACTTTCTGTAATGAGATCTGGTGCCTTCTTCTGGCCTTCAGGCATACATGCAGGCAGGATATATAATATATAATAAATCTTAATAAAAAAGAGGAACATAGTAAATACTGGGGCTTGAGCAGGGATCGCCACACATCCATGACCCTGCTCTTTGCTATTGAAGACCTAGCAACTGGATTTTATCTCTCTATTTACTGATGTTAGGACCTGGGCAAGATGTGTTATGTTCATCAAACTTAGGAATGATGCACAAATTGTATTGATACACATTAATAAAACTTTGTGTGTCTGTCTGGAGACTGGAAGAAAGCCATATATACAGTGTTCTATCTTGGTGGAGACATTAACTTTAAGTATCTTAGAAGGACAAATTAAATTGCTCAGAGAACAGAGGTAGCATTAAAAAATAAAAGAGTTCTTTGTGGAACATCTATACCAAACCTTGCTAAATAATTTTTAAGATACTGAAATGCGTAGGTACATTCCTATTTTGTCTTCCACCAGAGCTTAGCTATGACCATTAACTTACTGAAGTTAAGTAACTCTGGGAGAGTTACTTAATACATACTTGCTTATATACAGGTATTAAGTATCAGAGGTCTGACTTCAGGAGGATTCCTCTGTGGACTCATTTAGCCTAACCTCTCTGCTAAGTGAGGTCATCACTGTTCCCAGCACCAGTGTAGCCTTTTCCCTGCCTGTGACACAAACAGGTAAGTGATTCTCTCTATCTGTGCCCATCCTTTTTTCTTTTCAACACTATTCTGCCCAATGGAATCAGTCCAGTGGCTTATCCAGAAGACCAGCTGTCTTATTGAGCTGGCTAGTGACTGGAGGGAGCCAGTCACCCTATTCTCTGGCTTGAATCATCACATCCTCTCTGGAATGGACCGGGGGAAATTGCTCCTGCTGGAAAATACCTGCAAGAACCATTAGGATAGCCACTGAGGCATCGACCTTGAGCCAGTTGCATCTGGAATGGTAACAACACACACTCAAGCCCAGGAAGATGGCACCTGTCAGTATCAGGAAGATATCCAAGACTTCAGCCCCAATGGAGAGCCACAAAACACCTATGAACAGAAAGGACAGAAGCACTGGACATTCAGAACCCATAACTGGAAGGTTTGATCCTTTGGTTTCATTACTAATGCACTTTCTGTTCTTATAATAAAACACTGGAGGCGAGGTATTTTGTAAACAAAAAGGTCTCACCATTCAGTTCAGTTTTGGGCGCTGTAAAGTCCAAACAACATGGGCCTGGTTCTTGCAAAACTGTCCTAGCTATCTTACACCATGATCTGGGATCATGCATGAAAAGGAGAAATCCAGGCTGACATGAAGCCAGAGGGACAGGAGAGAGGCCAGGAGAGGCCAGGCTTATTATTTCATGACACTCTTCTGTGGGAACTAACTCAGTATTGCAAATGCTGACTACTTCTGAGCAGTACTCCAAAGACCTTAAACCTCCCTTGGTCTCCACCCCTGAAGGTTCCTCACCACCTCTCAGTAGCTCTGCCCTGAGGACCAAGCTTCCAGGATGAGTACTCCCTGTGGACACAAGTAAGTGGTGGTGGTGCCAAGACACCTTGCTACAGCAAGCCTTCATTATGAAAACCAAAGGCACCTTTGTTGAGTCTTAGGAAGTTATCAGCCAAGGGGATCCTAGGGCCTCAGGGAAGGTATAAAGACTGCCCACAGGTGGGAGGGAAACATAAGCAAAACCCTGGTATAGGGCTGCAAGAGACTCTGGGATATCCACTCCTCAGATTAAGAGTTACCATGCACAATACAGAGAAACCCTGTCTCGTAAAAACCAAAAAAAAAAAAAAAAAAAAAAAGAGTTACCATGCTATTTTTTTATTGCAATGGAGACATTGTCTCTGCCCTTTACAGAAAATACACAGGGGTTGGCAAGATGGCTCTGTGGCTAAGAGCACTTGCTGCTCTTGCAGATGACTGGTGTTCAGTTTCCGGCACCCGAGTCTGGTGATTCACAATCACCTGTAACTACATCTCCCGTTGATCCCCATTCCCCTTCTGGCCCTGCAGGCACCTGCCAAGAGGTGCATAGATTCACACACATCCCCAACACACAAATCAAAAATGGAACCTTTTCTAGGAGATGCACAAACTTCGGAAGAGACTGAACATTAAAGAGCCTTGGGTCAGCTCCAATTCTACCAGCATCCCTTGTTTCCATGCAAGCTGCGTGTACACCCCTGCTGGGACCCACGCTGGGGCTGTATTGGATGTGGGTGGAGAAGACTGGATAGAGGGAACAGAAGGGAAACGGAAGCTTTTATAAAAGTCGGGTGATGGGGGAGAGGAACACCTAAGACTGACACGATCCTCTCTGCAGTTTCATAAAGCGTCCGGTCCGTCTGGGAGAGCAGAGACCAAGAAAGCAAGCACAAACTCAGTGGATAGTGGAGAGAAGAAAACACAGGTAAGGCAAGGTGTTCCAGAGCACCCGTCTTCCCAACTCTGCCTTCACTTTCCCTGAAGAGCTTGAGGTTGGCCACCACGGGGATATTTATGGTTTGGGAAGCTGCAGACTCCACCAGTCAGTGTCCTGTCACCCCGAGAAGCTGACTACCACCTTCCAGCACATCACAGTTATAAGGCACACAAATGGAGCCTGGGCGGATGTCACGGGAAAAACCATACCCAGCCCTCTCATCCTTCCCCCGTATTCCATAAAACGTTAAGAGCCATTCAAATGGGGAGGGACCCTGGCTGAAAGCACAATGTTTACTTACCTTGTCCCTCGGTGGGCACTATCCCTCGGAAGCACCTGCACCGCTCGCCTAGAAGACAAGGAGAACACAGCCAAGCACCGTCCCACAAACGGACAAATAGATAACAAAAATGCGCCGTGTGTATACAATTCTGTTCGGCTGTAAAGAAAAACGAATTTGGAGAGAATTGGGTGGAATCGGAAAACCCAGACCCAGAAAGACAGGCACCAAATATTTTTCCCAGGCGTATTCTAGTATGTTGCCCCAATGTGTGCATGTCTGGGTGGAAACAAACATTAGCAAAAACAGGAACTAGGAAGGATCCCTCGTGGCTGGGGCAGGGGCAGTCAAAGAGGCTCTAATGGTGGGAGAGTGGAAACAGAGCAACATGGAGGTGAGAAGGTAGAGCGAGGAAGGGGGACAGGCCGAGGAGTGGGGACAGAAGGAGGTCAGTAGTGACAGCAGCAAAAGACGATGGGTAACATGTGGAGTTCAGTCCCCAAGGTGTAGCTTCCATGACTAGCTCTACCCCCACAGGAAGTCTCCGGATTCCTCTGAGCCATGTTTTCTTTGTCTCAAACTGAGTCTAAGTAAAGTCTTCAGTAAAATAGTTGTGAGAACGTGCTGCAGATTGCTGAGTGCCTTTTCATGTTTAATTATTACTAGGTTCCACCTCTGAAAAACCCTCCTGGGGACCAGGGTCAGCACATGAACCTTGGGGACACCCTCAGACCACATCCCAAGCACATGAAAGTAGTGAGTGTCCTTAGTCTGAGGAGAGCCATCTTTTCTAAAAGTTATGGAAGAGAAGCCAGGAGCGGAGCAGGGACAGGGACAGGGGCAGGGGCAGGGGAAACCAGGAGGCGGACAGGGGCCCGGCAGGGGCCGGGCACAGAGCACCAGAAGGCCAGCTGAACAGATTAAGAGAATTCCCAATAGCTTAGAAGGGCAAGTTTAGCTGGGCCCAGAGAGCTAGACCCGAGTGACCCCTTGATTAATGTGAATCCTCAGAAACGGTGTTCCTTCTGAACAAAGCCAGCAGGATTAAGAAGAAAAATCTTTACAAATCCCATGAAGCCAGAGAGGCGGGTGTTACATAGCTTGGCAGGGTTTGGGCGGCCAAGAGGCAGGGCAAGCCAGCTGTAGGAGAATGCATACAAGCCCTGGGTGCTTGACTCTGCCATTCTGCCCTTGAATCAAGGCTCCAGTGCTACCCACACACCCCGTCTGAATGCTCTGAGTCTAGCAGAACAGCTCAGGGTCTACTCAAGCAAGCATCATTGATTTGGAGATTTGCCTCTACTGGGAGCTTTCTTTGCAGACCTCCATTTCAGAATGTGGAGAGAGGTGTGGACTCCCCTTTTAAAGCAACGAAGGGGCCACTTCCTAGGAAAAGAGCTGATTCAGATAGGAAACCTTTTTCTCAGTCAAGTCTCATGATGCAAAACTGGGGTGTTGCCCACCACTCAAGTCCCTTGTCTGCACTTGGTTAGGAACATCTTGGGATCAGAGTCCTTAATGCCCATCATTGAGCCCATTCTACCCCTTCCAAACTTTCAACTATTTGTACTATTTTCTGTTCATGTTTGTCCTTACCCTCTCTCGCTCACGCCCCTCATTCCTCAGGTGCTTGTGCTGCTAGCCCATAGTCAGTGGCTGGGTGCTATGTTCTAGACTTCATCATAAACATGACTTCGTAGGCCTGTGTAAAGCTCCCAACAGATTTTTTTTGATCGGGAGATAGAAAACTCAGATTAACTTCCTTCGCAAAAGAAAAGGATCCGTCTGTAGTGAGCTCCCAAGAAGACCTGACCCCAATGCTGAGCTGAACTCTAAGGGATGACCTCTTGGTCAAGGCCTTAGAAATTCAAGGTCACTGGCAATCCCAGCTTTTTCACCTACTTCTGGTACCACCTCCTGTGAGCTATTTGCATTTGCAACTTCTAATACATAGCTTTTGTCTTGTTTTTATATTTTGAGACAGGGTTTCTCTGTATAACACCACAGCTGTCTTGTAACTCACTCTGTAGACGAGGCTGGCCTCGAACTCCCAGGGATCTGCTTGCCTCTGCCTCCCGAGTGCTAGGATTAAAGGCATGCGCCACCAAACTGGCCAATCTAGTTTTGACTTAGCCTCTAATGTTTGGTGTTAATGAATCTCTATCAAATCAAAACTGAACACTAAACCTTTTGCTTTAGGTATATCCTACAAAACATGGAGGTAATGATGTGTCTTCAGATGGTGAAAATTTTTTTCTGGGAAGATGTCTTGTTTCTATTGTAATAAGACAGTGGAAATGTGGTAACATTTAGAAACCCTAACTTTCTTATACTGAGAAGTATTGGGAATGTGAGCAGAGGAGTTTTAGATGGATGGGCAAAAAGCATTCATGGTAGTTATTAGATTGTGGGGTAACAGTAGAAGTCAGAGTGAAGAATGAGGGGTCCAAGTTCATCAGTCTCTAACTCTGCAATCTTCAATGGGGTGCATGCACTTCTGCAGCACAGTTACTGTAATTCTCACATAACTGACATAAATAGATGCAAATACACAAATTTCTGTGCTTAATGAATTTTGGGAAACACTGGGATATACTAATCAGTTTTTTTTAATTGTAGAATTTCCCAGAGATTTTTTTTAACATGGTAATGGACACACTGAGTTTCCAAGAAGAAAATATAATATGTGACAATTTCCAGTCACACAGTTTAAACTCTTCGTTTATTTTCTTCAGAGAGCATCTTTGTGGAACATCTCTGTGGTCATCCAGTGAGGCCCTTGTTGAAGGCTTCTCCCATCCTGAACTCAAGAACAGAGGTGCACAAAGTTGCAAAGGGATCAAGACACACACTGTTAATTTCCACTCAGCATTATGTAGGAATCACCAAGAGTATCAGTCTTCCTTAAAATTCAGTGTGTGTTCCAGATGATGTAGGAAGGTGAAAGTGGCGTGTGTGTATGTGTGTGTGTGTGCTCCCTGGTTTGACAGGAATGCTAAGGGGGCTTCTTCTAGAGGAAGGAGTTAAAAGAGCCTCACACAGTCTTTTAATGTTGCCCCAGATGCCATTTTAGGATGAGGACATTTTCCTGACACACACACACACACACACACACACACACACACACACACACAAGTCTTAGTGATAATTTACACCAGTACCAGCCTAGTGTTGCTGTGACTGAGGGACACACACCACAGAGCATGCAGAAGGCCAGCTGATACGTGCTTCTGGGCCTCCTTAAGGTCCACTTCCTCACTTTCCTTAAGTCCAGCCAAGGCAGTTTTTCTAATAGGGAAATCTATGGGGAATACTTCTCGCAGCACATCCTCCACTGAAGGCCCTTCTCCCTCTGACATCACAAATAAGCATGCCAATGCCAGTGCAATGGCAGTTTATTCCAGTTAGGCCTCTGCCCTGATATAAGGGAGGGACAGCTGCTCCAGGGACATGGAAAGGCCATGTGAGCTCTCATACGTACTGAGACTTCATTCTGTTCCTTGCCAGACTTCTAGTTGGAAATGCCTGGCTTGGCTGCTTCAGCTCCGGCTTATTCATTTCTGTCTGTCCAGAACACCCTGACTCCTGCTCTCCATCTATTAAATTTCTAGATAAGGGGCTTGGAGGGGAAGGAGAGGTCAGCTGATAAAAAAGCATGAGGGTCTGAGTTTAATCCTCAGAACCCAAGTGAAAATGCTGGACATGGCGGTGTCAGCATGAACTCCCAATGCTGGAAAGTGGAGATGGGAGAATCAGGGGTGGACTGCTGGCCAGCCATTCTTGTTTAATTAGTGAGATCAGGGCCAATGGGAGAACCTATCTCAAAACAGGTATCATTCCCAAGGATGACACCTGAGGTTGTGGTCTCCATATATATGTACACACATATAACCCCCCTCAACATGCACATATAAGCAAAACTAAAACATGTGGTGGCTTGGTACAATGACTATCTCCTTTATGAAGCCTTGTCTATACCTAAGTAGCATATTTTTCATTGCCATCATGAATGAGTCTCCATCTTAACCTTTATCACAACCTTCCTCATTTTACTTTTATCTTAGACATCTTCCAGTAGTGTTTTTACCTTTCAGCACTATGGATCCCTCTCTGTTAGTTCCCCTAGCTCTGTGTCAAGCACAGAAATTCTTGTTGATGAATATACTCCATGACATTCCAATTGCCTTCTATCCAGAAGGCTTTTCTGTGTCCTAGAGTGTGCTTCTCTCACGTGGTGTGTCCCATAGTCACCAGGGAAGCAAACTAGAAATATAGATACTCTAAAGATAATTAAGTTGAGTGGAATAGAAATACTAATGTTATGAGAGTGGGAAGAGAAATAGCAATTAGAAACTCAAGGGAAACCAAAAACCCTGTGCAAACAATAAATGGAACCAGAACATGCTTTCTGATGCGAGAATGAGCAACATCTAGTCAAAATTATTGGCTTATTGATTTAAATGAAACAACTACATTACTTTACCAGGAAGATGGCAAATGTTATGTGGGGTAGCCTCATGGAGAATGATAAATTTTATTTATTATAACATTAAATCAATAACTAATGTCTAAAATGAAGATATCCATGTTTGTTCTTCATATAGAAACAGTTTCCCCTGAAGGAAGGCACAAAGAATGTTGGTTTTATAAGCCTTTCAAAATGTGTTACTCTTATCTGTTTGTAAATATTAGCTTAGCTAAAATCAAAACAAAAAAATCAACAAAAAAAACCCTAACCAACCAACCAACCAGCCAAGAGCAGGTTTCTAGATTCCAGTCCAGGTCTATAGAGTTAGAACCTCTGGGGTTGGATCCTGGATGTTTACAAGATCTCAGGGTGAGTCTAATTCATGACATTACACAAAACTGTGGAGATAGATAAAGCTATCCTCAGGAGGGGAACTGACTTGGAAACAAAAGTTCTTAAGCCATTTGCTTGTGGATATATTGTCTGCAGTTCCCAAAGCAAAAACACGACTATCTTGGCCATCCCAGAGGCTGCGGGCTCAATCACATGCCAAGTGTAGCTATGTATGTGTGTGTATGGGGGCACCGAGAGAGTGGACTTTATATCATAGTACTCTGGAAAAAAGAGGATTTGGGAAGTCCCTTTGGTAGTGTCTGTATCAAGCATAGACCTCCAGGCTAAGGTGGGATGTTATTTGTCCCTCAGTGACCCACTCGGATGGGGTTGGAGGTGGTTATGCTCAGAGCACTGTTCCTTGTTGCAGTCTACTTAGTCTGCGAGAATAATTGTTAAACTGCCACAAGTTGGTAAAATAAACATCTATACAAGAAATGTAGTAAGTCTGAGGTCAGAAAATAAGTGGAGACTGCTATGGGTGCCCCTTTTCATTTCAGGGCCTTTGCTTTGAAAACAGAGGAGCACATCTACCCCTGATCATGGGCCATAGGTACTGATCTAACATCAAGGGTTGCCATTCATCCCTCTTCTGTTCTTTGTGAGGGAAAAACATTTTCTGGAAACTGATCGATGTACTAACCCTCCCTTCCATCTTCTCTTTCTTCTTCTCTCAGCATTTACTTGAGAAATCTCCACCTCCAATCAATGAAGTGCAGAAGGTGTTAATGAGGTGGGGCTGGCTGACATGAGTAGAGGCCTGCTCTGTAGATTCTCTGAGGCTCAGTCTCCTGAGCTGAGGGGTGATCTGCTTCGCAGGGCTGTTTCAAGGGCTGCCTGAGATAAAGGTCCAACTTGTTATGAACCGTGATTGCGATTGATCTGGTAGGTGACGTAATGATGCTAAGGGCTGTTTTTTGTTTTGTATTTTTTAAAATATTTTTTTGATTGTGAGCCATCTCTCCAGCCCTTGATTTGTTTTGTTTTTCTAAATAGAACCCTTGTTCCAAGAGTGATGGCTCAGCATAGGGGCTGGAGCCATGGCTCAGTGTTGAAGAGGGCTTGTGGCTCTTGCAGAGAACTTGGGCTTGGTTTCTAAATAAGTCAGGTGTCTCATAACTGCCTGTAACTTTAGAGAGGCTACATACATGCACATGAACACACACACACACACACACACACACACACAGAGACGGGGCGGGGAGGCAGATTTATTTCTGTGAGTTTGAGGACAGCCTGGTCTACATTCCTATCCAGTCAAGGCTATAATGTTAGACCCCATCTCCAGTAACAGCAACAATTTATAAAGTGAGAAAGAAACCGAAACCTTAGGGATCTTAGGGATGCAGCTTAGAGGTGGATGGAGGCCACCTTTGATTCTTGAGAAACTGACAGGCAGTGGCAAGAGGGTGAACACTTGCGCTTAATAAATAGTGTCAGGCACTATTGCAGACACTTCCCATGAATCTACTCACTTCAGCTGTGAGGTTTCTCTAGGAGTTAAGCACGTCCATGGTTCCCATTTTATGGATGAGAAAATTGAGGCTGAGAGGTAAGGGACCCAAGATTCAGCCCCAGGCAATCTGACTCTGGAGCCCCTTCTCAGGGCCATCCTGAACCCATTGACCTGGGGACACATAGACTGCACTCACCTGTGCTGCTGAGGCTTTCCTCACAGGACTGCCAGAGCCCTGCATGGAACCTGTGCAGGATGAACTTGTCGTCCCCTGTCTCCCAGATGTACTGGACAGCCTGGCTAGCATCGTGTCTTCTTCCAGTGCTGCTGTTGGTATGGCTGGAGTGAATGCAGTTCAATCCCCCCAGGAGGTCCTGGCATAGAGGTTTTGTCATCCTTCGGATCCCCTCACACCAGTGGCTGCTGACCATGGCTGTAAGGGAGAATGCAAGGGCCAGGCAGATGGGGACGAGGGTCAGTACCCTCTGCCACCTCGCCCTGTCCATGTCAGAATGAAGCTCCTAGTGCCAGCATGAGTGAGGACCCCCCCCCACTACATCACAGTCTCCATCCCAGCCCTGCCATCTGGCATCCTGACACAGCTTGCTCATGGTCCCCTGAGTATACTCCAGCATATAGCATTTATGTAAGTACTGTGGCCTGAGATATCCTCCCATGAAGAAGCTCAGAGTGGACCTTTCTGTCCTTCCTAGGATGAGTATGTGCAGGGGATACGGGTCCATTTTCTAATTGGTAGTACAATATGCATAATAAAAATCTACTACCTTAACTACTAAGAGTTCGGTGGCATTAAGCATGGTCACACTGTTGTGTAACCTTCACCTCCATCTCCAGAACTCACCTCAGTTTGCAAAATCCAAAATCAAAGCTCTGTCATCATTAAACAACTTTTCATTTTCTCTCTTCCCAGCCTCTGGCAGCCTCCAATTGTCCTTACTGTCTTGATATTCTATAAAAAGCCACATAGAAATGTCACCTTGTTTCTCTATCCACTCTTCAGTTGAGGGGCATCTGGGTTGCTTCCAGGTTCTGGCTACTACAAATAATTTTGCTATGAACATAGTGGAACAGATGTCCTTGTTTAGTTCTGTACCCCATTTTTAAATTGGATTATTTGGTGTTTTGGAGACTAACTTCTTGAGTTCTTTGTAAGTTTTGGAGATCAGCCATCTGTCAGATATGAGGTTGGTGAATATCTTTTTCCATTCTTTGGGCTACCATTTTGTCTTGTTGGCTGTGTCCTTTGCCTTGTAGAAGCTTCTCAGTTTCAGGAGGTCCCATTTATTAATTGTCAATCTCAGTCTGTTCTACTGGTGTTATGTTAAGGAAGCAGTCTCCTATACCAATTCGTTCAATGGTACTTCCTACTTTATCTTCTAAGAGTTTCACTGTGGCTGGATTTACGTTGAGGTCTTTGATCCATTTGGGCTTAAGTTTTGTGCATTGATAGAGATGGATCTATCTGCAGTCTTCTACATGACAGCATCCAGTTATGCCAGCACCATTTGTTGGAGAAAATGTGGTACATTTACACAATGGAGTACTACTCAGTGGAAAAAAACATTGGAATCTTGAAGTTTTCAGGCAAATGGATGGCACTAGAGGAAACCATCCTGAGTGAGGTAACCCAGTCACAAAAAGACAAATATGGTATGTACTCACTCATATAGATTTTAGACATGGAGCAAAGGATTACCATCCTACAATTCCACTGTCAGAGAGTCTGGGAAACAGGAGGACCCTGAGAGAGAGATATGCATGGTACCCCAGAGAAGGGGAATGGGACAGCATCTCCTGAGCAGACTGGGAGCATGGTAGGGTGAGAGGGAGCTGGGAGAAAGAGAGGAAGAGAAGAGGAGGGGAGAGGAGGACATACAGGAGCAGTAAGTTTGAGTCAGAAGCCTGAAATGCTCTCACATATATATATGTATATATATGCATATATATACATATATAGTACATTAGCTTGCAAATAGGTTTCATTATGACATTTTTTCAAATAAAATTTGCATTTCTTGTTTCTTTTTCTACCTTCTTTCCTACCCATTGTCCTCCCGCACTCCCACCCCCAGTCACCCCTTCCTATGCTCATGACAATCTTTTGTGCTCTTCCTCCACTGCCCTAGCTTCTCCCGTTCCCCTCTGGCGGTCTCCCATCTAGTGTCATAGTCCACACCCACCCTCACTAACTTCTATTTGCATACAAATGTAAGCATTAGTAGTTAGGATCTCCATATAAGAGTGAACATACAAGAAATATGGAAACTTGGGGGGAACTTCTGGGCCTATTCCTTGCCCTACACTAGGAAAGAGAGACCGCAGAGGGCTGGTGTTTAGCTCAGGGACTCAGAGAAGCCAGAAGCAGGCCATTTGCCTCAAAGTCTGTGGATCGTGAGAGGGGGGAGGGACATGTACTCAACTGGCTGCAGAAATTATCACCATCCAGGGAACTCAATGGTCTTGGACCATAACTCATATCCTCACGGAAGGGCTCACTGCAGGAGCTGTGATGCCGACAATCCTTAAACCTGTGGGAGGGTAATGCTAGGCTCTGCTCCTTGGTGGGCCTAGAGTAGGCTTGGGAAGGAGTGTGGAGCCTTCCAAGAAGTGTACCTTTTTACGCCTTTTACTGAGGCCTGAGGAATAAAATAAAAACTAAACCAAATGTTTTCAGGATGGGGAAAGAAAGGCAATTAGAAATTCCAGGAAAAGTGAAAATTTACATAAGAAATTCAATAAGCCTGAAGCCAGGAAGGAATGGAGAGACGGAAGAGTCTGTGTGGCTTCGGAAGATTGTGGGCTCCTCATTAAGTGTGGAGCAGCCCTGGAGACGTCCTGATGTAAACGGGCAGTGACATTTGTGTTTGTCTCCTGCCATCTGTTCTTCCCTGTTGTGCTCTGTGCTCTTGGGAGCATGGAACTGCACACTGCTTTCACAGACAGGTTTACCACATTTTGTCACTAGATGGCATCCATCCCAACAGGTAGTAGGTAGGGAAGTTGTACACGCACAGGCCAACGCATGTCCTTTCAGGGGGAAAAAAAACTCAGGAAAAATGCTTTTGAGAAACATTGGAAGAAGTGAGATGGAATATTCGTACAAAGCAGGTGTTTTCGCCCCCACCATGCAACCTAGAAGCTCCCCTTTTATGTGTGTAGAAAACCTTTACAGCCACCTCTCTGTCTCTGTCTCTGTCTCTGTCTCTGTCTCTGTCTCTGTCCCTCCCTCCCTTTCTCCCTCCCCCCTTACACACACACACACACACACACACACACACACACACACACACACACACGCGCGCGCGCGCGCGCACACACACATGCACACACACACACGCTTTCATCCCTCCCTGCCACTTCATCCCATTCTCTGTGGTCCCAAAGAGATGACCACATTGACTCCGGAAATTTACACTCACACAAAAACACATCTCAGAGCCCTTTCCAGACTGATCTTTTTACTATTAAGGTTTGAATGCTTGCCACAGGAGGGTTTGAAGATTTCTAGGGACTTCTATCTAGCGGTGTTCATCCATTTCCCCCCTGAATGTTCAGAATCCACTGGTCCTGATCAGTTAATGGAAATGAGCTATGGTTTGACTTAAATGTGAAAAAAAGGAAGAGGTGGAGGAGGAGAGAAGGGGGAGGGGAGGAGACAGGGAGGGAAGGACAGAAACCTGCTTTTCTTGACTCTTGTCTTTCTGACATTTTGACTATCACCTTATGCTTGGGCCCCCAATTGGAAAAGTTGGGGAGATTGCTGGGAGCCATCCAGACAGAGGTGGGGTGAGGGGGCCCAAGCAGAGCCTTAGAGATGGAGAAGAACCTGCTAGAGAAAGAGTTTGCCCTGAGGCCAGAGAGGTAAAGAATAGCTCCTGATCAGGTAGCTGTGCTCCGGTAACTAGAAGGCCCGGCTCTGGCTGTCTTTAACTTTAACTTGCTATGCAGCCTTACACACACACACACACACACACACACACACACACACACACACACACACACGGACACGGACACGGACACGGACACAGACACACGGACACGGACACACAAACCCTAACCTCTCTGGACCACAATGTTTCTCAGCCCTCAGATGAAGAAGTAATGGTGCCTTGGGAGGAACTGATGGGAAGGTAAAGCATAGGTTAGTAAGTGGTGGGTCATGACTCCCATAAAAGCATCCAGGTGGTCAGAGCATCATTATAGTCAGAACACAACGGCCTGCTCAGAACACGTGGGCAATCGGGAGGTGCCAACCTCTGCGCTTTCTACCCATTGTTTTGCTATTGCGTAGATGTAACTCTCGTCACTGAATGGGCTTTTGCTGCAGACCTTGGGTCTGGAGGAGTTGTCTTTGAGACAGGCAAACTGCTCTTGTTACCTTGGCATAATCAGAGCTCAAAGGTGGCCCTGCCTTTGTGGCCAGCCCCAGCGCAGTTTGGAAAAAGTTTGATGCCTTAGAAAGAAATACTGACTTAAAAGATACCCACCTGGCATCCTGGCCCATCCTCACCAGCTGTCGGAACCTCGGTCTGCCTGTGTGCATGGAGCAGAATCCTCGGGATGGAAACCATGCCTTGCTTTTTCATCTGGGCCTGCTAAGGAAGTCCCAGGCAGCATAGCCGTCTTGGGGGTAGGTCTGGGAAAAATCTCCCAAGATTTTAGGAGGGGCAGGCGGGGGATGAGAAACTTGGAGATTCGGTAGATCTCTCTAGAGCAGCTCAGACACTCGGCAGCCCGCAGAGGATTTGTGCAAACACTTCCTCTCTGGACAAGGAGGAATGCAGGAGGCCACTGCCTGCGGTACATCTTGGAGTGCTGGAGGGATGTGCTTGCACTTGTGAAGGGGCGCTCGGAGGATGAGGCCCCAGTCAAGCCCGGCAGTGCCCAATAGAGGCAGAGAGGGGCGCTTGCCCCGGGTGCGGGCACAGACGGTGGGCATCCCTGCGGCCCAGAGGACCGATCTTCTCCATTCCCACAAGATGCATCTGCTCTGGGGTCCTAGGAGGCCTTTCCTCACCCTGCTTCTGCTGGTTTCCATCAAGCAAGTAAGAACAGATTTTTATTCCTCGTTCTTCTTGTTAATATTATCAGTTGTGCATGTTTTCTGGTTGTAGAAGCAATTTAGGCCCCTTGTAGGCAATTTGGGAAGAAGAAAACCATATTAAGAAAATGTTGCTCAGACATAACCACAGCGTTCTGTTCACTGTTCATATTTTGGCTGTTTTTTTTAATCTCTTGTCTGTACATTATTTTACAGACCTGAAATAATCAAGCATAAATTATTTACGTTCAGTCTTTCCTTTACATCCTTCCAGAAGCATCTTCCATGTCAGCATTTATGAGTGGCTGCTTGTATCCTCCTGTACACTCTTAGCATCTTCCCTGTTTTGAATGGTTACAGGGAGTGTATATTTCTATGCCTTTTCCCCCATATTTTCCTTTATTCCTATTGCAAATACTTAGAATTTTTCTTTATTGTATTCCA